AATCCACGTCTGTTTGGTATCCATTCCTCACATGCCTGCTTATTTCCAACTCTCGACCATTTGCAGCATCTAGGAAAGCTTTTTCTATATTTCTTAAGGATATTTTGTCAAATCTTTTACCTTTTTAAACAAGGCAATGGATAGCCTCAAATATCAACAGCCTCGAATAGTGCAACAGATAGAATGATTCGACATTCAAAAATGAAAAGATGAAAACAAAACGAGTTTATAGTTTAGTAAGTCAGCTCAATATAGTTTAGCAAAACGAGTTTATATACAGGGAATGGAAATGGAAAAATGAAAATGGAAAAATGAAAATGGAAAAATGAAAATGGAAAAATAAAAATGGAAAAATGAAAATGGAAAAATAAAAATGGAAAAATGAAAATGAAAAAATGGAGTGACACGTGATTTATCTCAAGAGGGACACTTGTTATCCATAAAAGGGACATGTTTTAAGCTTTGCAGAAAAGTGGGGGCACGTGCCCCCTATAGGCCTTCCGGCTCCTACGCCAGTAATTTTGAAATAGCCTAGATATTTTGAAACCAAGATGGGTTTACTAATTTTTTTTGGAAAAATTCACGAAATGAGAAGAAAAGAAAATTCTCATTCAAATTTAGGTTTGTGTGTCAATTTCAATCTTAATTGGAAGTATGTGAAAAGATTTCGATGCAGCAAACTGCATGCTATGGATGGGTGTATATTTTGACAATATCTGCTGTCACTGTCATTTTAAAGAATGATCTCATACTATTTACCATTGTCGTATGTTTTACCTATCGTTTGTTTACATGGGGAGAATAGGACTGATTCCAAAATATTTTGTGTTTATTAGGGATCGATTCCAGATCGAACCCCACTGCTTCCAGACACTTTAGAAAGGCATGCGGAGGCGTATTGCTTTTGCCATTACCTCGAGAAGAAGAGAGAACAGCTTGAAGAGAGTTCATAAATGAGACATCACAAAAAGCTATTTTTAGGATTTGCCAGGGAAAGATTTGAAGCTTGCTAACGAATCACTGTTATTTTCGCTCTGTTCAAAAAGTTATGAACAGAGGCGAAATTAAAGAGGTTTGATGGAGAAAGAGACAAAGCACATGTGGCCATATCTCAGTCAATTCTGAACAGATTCGACTGATTTTGCACATTTAGAGGTATTTCATGATGCTCTTTTAGGCTATGGGATCAAAATTCAAAAATTCTGAAAGCATATCTTTGTGAAATCACCACAATAGAACTCTATGTGAAAAATACCAACATAATTTTGTTTGGAGCGATGAAGAAACGGCCCTACTCCTGAAGATCACGATGGAGAGTGCAAGGCAAATCGTTCTCATAAGTTGGAGACTGTTCCCTGAATTTATCAAAAAACTCGCAAAAAATAGAAAAATTCATCCTTCCTGTTTTGTTTCTCTAAGCTTGTGGACGAAGAAGGAGCGCAAAATCTTACAATGAAAGGGTCGCAAAATCTTACAATGAAAGGTCGGAGCACTATGTTCGAAGCACCTCAATTGGATTGTAGACACGCCTCGATTCCTATACGTGTCATTTTGGGATCGATCCTACCTTTTTCGAGCTTAGACGAGACGGGAAAGATCCTAAACTGGATCGATCCCAAACCGGAACGCTCTCAATAGCGAACCCAAATTAGTACGGATATCGGATTGATCCCGAGCATTCCTGTGTAAACGGAAGGCTGGTCCGTACCAGTTTGGGATTGCTCCCGGCATGCATCTTGCATAAGTGAACGCCCTGGATATCAAAATTGATCATTACACCTATATAATTCTTTGATGGTTCAATAGGGGTATCAAGGAGAAGACAGAGGAACTTTCACCCCCAGTTCACAGCAGGGTTGACTTCGCTATTCTCTAAATCCGAGGATAGAAGGTTGGAGAAAGGGAAATATTTTTGCAAAGTTCTTAGTCTGTCTGTTACTCACATGACTTTGAAAACAAAAGAATTAGTCATTGCTGTTTTCTATTGGTAAAACGATCGTGAAACTTCTGACACAACGGTTAAGGCCGCCACTGATGATATTTTTAACACACTTACAGTTAATTTGAAAGCTTTTCATAAAGTAACAGAAATTGTTATTGGCAAAAACAAATCTCAAAATCACCTTAGTATGTTCTTCTGCAGTCTTGATGAGAGCCTTTGACAACATATCCTATTTGGTTCAATGCAGAGCTCCCTTGCTCGCTTTAAATTAAACATTCTACTTCTGGTATCGATCACAATGTTTCCGAAATCACTCACTGTTTTCTGATAATGTTCAAGGAAATATTTTTCAAACAATTATTGTCTATAATGAGTTATGAGGGGCATTAACTGTATCGTCATATAAATAGCGAATCCGCTTAACATTGCATCGTTAGTTAAAACATCGAGATATCAATGGGAATGAACGTATTATATCTTAGGCCAGCAAAATATAAGAGGCTAGAGAAACCTCTCTTAAATATTAATCCTATTGCCCACTGCTTTTGATATCAGGTCATACTGTAATACATTTAATTGCATTAAGATAGGGGCTCCATTGTCGTTCAGTGTCGATTAATAGTTCTTGTGACCTCTGGAGACAACAGAGAAACGTTCAGCACGTCGTTGTTCGATACAGAAACAAACTGGAGGGAAAGAAACAAACTGGAGCTACAGAGAGGCATTCATTCTGGCCATTCACTCACCTCGTTGTCCCAAAACAAAGTTTTTAAAACAAAGAAATATTGAAAAGAAAATGTCAAATATAAACTAAAATGATAAATATGTTTTCGTACTCAGACATATTCATCGTTGGTATCTGAGAATTCACACTACGACAAGTCGTTGTATAGGACTTTCAAAGTCAAAGAGTTACGTAAAGGAGATAATATCAATTTTTTCAAAGTGGATCAAGTTTGCTGCCTTGAAAGTATCGATTTTAACCCACTACACTCCACTAAGACCACATGGCACTGCGTAGGAGCATTACACACAATTGCATATCCGCTTAGCAAATAGAGTACCGAAGTGTGACGTCATCAAAAATATATTTTTAAAATTTCTTAACATTGACCACATAATCTGAAAGAACGGCATAAAAGACCTTTCATATTGCAAAATCAGGCAGATATGTTCAAAATTGGGCGAGATATGGCCAATGGAAGATTTCAAGTTAGCTAACAGATTACTGTTATTCTGGCCTGGTTCATAAAGTTCTGAACCAAGACCAAATAACAGAGGTTTGATGGGGCAAGAGACAGTGCTCATGTGGCCATATTTCAGCCAATTTGTAACCCATCCTACTGATTATGCATATTTACTGATTATGCATATTTAGAGGTATTTCATAATGCTCTTTCAGGTTATGGGATCAAAAGTGAAAACTTCTAAAAATAGATTTTTGTGACGTTATCACTTCGGTACTCTATATTTCACATCACATGACTAAAGCAAACTCTAGATCGGGAAAAGCAATCGATGTACCTTTTGAAATAATTTTCTATAAGCATACATAACTGATTGGGCGACCCTATCTGCGTTTTCTGATTGGCTTACTTTGATCCACAACTTTGTATATGTATATTCCTCGCTAAAAATTATTGACCATTTTTTGACGTGTAAAATGTTTGCTTTTTTAAAAATTAATGCAGGGTTTTGTTAGCCTGTGTCCCAGACCCCTAACTTGAAAGTAGAGGTCTGGAGCACAGGCTAGGCTTTGTAAATTTTTGCAAAATTATTTAGTGGAAACTATTTGCTTGGTTCCCAAGTCACGCTCAGCAGGGTAACAAATGGACTTGCTACAAGTCTCTCTCTTTAAAGAAAGGGAAAAAGGAAAAAAAGAAAGGGAAGGAGAGAGACTTGTAGCTCTCTCATTCCCTCCAATTTTTTCTTTTTTCCCTTTCTTTAAAGAGAGAGACTTGTAGCAAGTCCAAATAACAAAACGCCTGCAACCCAACCTAGTTCAGAATGGACGCTTATTGTGTTCGATATACATGCACAACAGGAGGGATTGAAAATTGTATCTTTTGAGTGGATAAAGGAAAGAGAACCTTTTGCCTATTGAAAGCTCATTGACATAGGGGTATTGGTACAATGATGGCGAGAGAAGAATGTGAAGTTTCACGTGAGTTGTCAAATCCAGCTTCAGATCAACCAAGTGTTTCCCTTTGTAGTCTATAGTGTTTACTAACATTGCCTTAGCAAATTTGGTGGTAAATATGGTGTTTTTGAAGAATGAAACAGCTGTATGGCTTATTTTTACAGGTAGAATGTGAGAAGACTTAAACTTAAAAAACAATGGCGAACACAAAATCCAGTCGCCTGTTGAAACATGACAGAAATCGATCCCTTTTTCCAAGGCTAACAATGTATCAATAAAGAAAGTGTGCTATCAATAAAGGCTATGCGATAACCGTATCATTGGCTTCGACGCAAGTTTGAAAGTTGAGGGGGGGGGGGCAAAGTCAAATCAAAGATTCATAATAAAGGTTATGCAAATAAACTCTTTTTTGTTTACAAAAAGGAGGGTAAAGGTCCTCTGACCCCTCCATGTTCAGGAGCCCCCCTGCGTATGATAACTGTCATTGTGAATCCTATGTTTAGGTCAGCCAACACTAGGTACCAGAGCTACATAAATTCGAGTACGGGCTCTCCTCCGCTTTTATTTCCGCTCTCGAAATTATGTGGCTCTGATATGCATGGTAATTCTACGCTAGGATATGGTGCTAGAAGGATCAGGGTGGACACTGCTCTTGATAAATGGCCATTGCCTATTTATGGTTGTTTTCTACTTTTTGTTACTGTTTCTTTCATATATTTTTTGCGAGAAGTCCTATGTTGTGTTCATAGCACTAGACACCTGATTCTACGTAACCTACTGCAGAGACCTTCGGATTACGATTCCAACTTGTCTATACAATATAAACTGTCAAAATCAGAATTCGGTGAAAACCGAATCAAACTTGCACGAGGCACATGAGCCAACGACAAATTGCTATAATTCAAGAGTCTTACATACCTTAGGCCAGGTTGGCTGCAGCTGAGCCGCGCTGACACCATCATTCAAGGCGAGATCGAACTGTTTGTTCTTAACATAAGCAGCCGACCTGTTCCCAAAAAGCATCGGATTCGTGGGGTCATTCCTAATGCACTCGCTGTAAATTCTTGTTGCTTTTTCGAAATCCCCTCTTTTGCATGCTTCATCCGCTAGGGAAGCTTTGTTTGCAAAGATATTCTTCATGCTAAAATCGTCTTTGATGTTTCTTTTACCAAGATCATGACGATAACTGAAATAACATCAAATGAATTTGTGTCTGAGATTTATACAAGCACCTTGATCCCAAGTCAATTATTGAGCATAAACTTTCTGGTACATAAATTTGATTTATAAAGAAGATTTGCAATCCACAGAGCTTTGTTGAGATAGCAACTGTCTTGCGATGGCTCAAAGATACAAGATAAGCATACAGATGATTTCTGAAAAATTAACATCTAAATGCAAATCAAAACATTCTTTCGCGAGCTGCCTTAGCATGAACACGCAAATGTAAGGCCAATATCAATGTATAAAAGAACACGGTTTTATAAGATAAAGATTACCAGCTTAATCGAATTTCGTTTTGCGTCTAGAGCAACTCATTGTTTACCATCGAGCAAAGGTGTAGGGATAATAAAATGAATTTCCGATTATTTGGAATCTTTTAGCAAATTTAAGGACTGAAATAGACGCCAGAAAAAGCTAGCTTATCGAACCATATTTTGGTGTTCGCTCAGTGCCGTAACGGAGGCATCTTTGGCCTAAACAAAAACTGAGATGAGTCCCACGTCAAACTGAGACGCTGCATAGCATGTGAAACACAATCAAAGATGTGAAAATGATGATATTTTGTCGTTAGCTAAGAAAAGTTGAGCTACAGAAGCTTCATTTGAACAACTCAAAGTTTTAAAAAAAGGATGAGTTTGAATGAAGTCTTCAAAACATGGAAATAAAAATAATGTATAGGCCTCTTTTGTTAGGGGCCCTTAGTTATCGAATTAAGGTGTCCTAAACTATGTTACGTCACAGAATGAAACCTCTATTCTGTGGTTAGGACACTGGGTTTTCTAAAAGCCTTCTCTTGCATGTTTTCTTTAAGAAGCTGGTAGATGCTGGAAAAGATTGGGGTAGAGCAACTTTGTGAAAATAACAAAACTTAATTGGGAAAGACAATTAGATACGAAGAAAATTAAAGGTTTTGACCTTTAGGTACTGCAGGCGGGTACATTTATGTAAAGATAAGTCAACTTTTCATATCAGCACCTTCCGCGTCTTCGCGTTGAAATTTTGAAACTTTCCAATACGAAAGGCAAACGTAGATGATTAATTCTTGAAACAGAATTTTTGAACGTCTTAGATTGAAGTAACTACATTTCCTTGGGCTTATTTTTAAGGTTGGCAGATTTGAGAAACAATATGTTTATGGTTGTGTGGTAACGAGAAATGGGAAGGTTAAAATCATCATCATATGGAAATATCATATGGGAATAATCCTTGCCAAAAGTCTTGATATACACCAAGCTAAAATTTCGCATAACTTCAGTAGCATCCCCCTCTTCCCCTTGTTTTTGGGGGGAGGGGGGATCTTACAGCCTGAAACCTTTATTTCTTCAAAATCTTTCATTGGTCACAGGGTGTTCCAAGGACTTTTGTCAAGGATTGTAGCTATTGTTAAGTTTTATTGAAAGCATTGGGTAGAGATCAAAGGTACAAGTTGACTCAGGTATACAGTGGTACACGGCACTCCTAGCCTGGGTCCAAGACCCCAAACTTTAGGGGTTTGGAGCACAGGCTAGGCACTCCAATCATGAGCAATCTGAAGGTGATGCTTTTAAAGGAAAAACCAGTTCACATTTCAGACAACAATACGTTGTAAGTTCTTTGTACAGCTTGATGTGGATGCCTTTTAGTAAGGAGCGGTGGCACCTTCAGTTACCGCAAGTATTTATTCAGTTTCATATCATAACCAATGTTTACATGAATGACTTGCTATTTAGCCCTCATAGTCCCTTTAAGAGCTGACAACAATTAAGTGATCAAAGGACAGACCATTGCATTTCCAAGGGTTCAGCGGCCTGCACGTCAGTGGCACTGTTGCCGTGTTGCGTTGGGAAAAATTTTGATGCAAGGGAAGAAAGTGAAATGCACAGAGAAACGGCATATGCCAACCCTTGCACTCTGTTGCCAATAATTGGCAAAACACTACACAGAGGATGCAAGGGAAGGGTGATGTTTTAGGAACGGATTCCTCGTGATTTAGCTCTATGACTTTGAGAATGCCTTTACGTAACAAAAAGTCAGTCCTTGGCATTCCCTGTTGGTAAAACGGCGTTTTCTTAAAGAAAAAGGATATAGAAAAAGGGTATCTCTTGAGATATTTTGCTATGCCCCTCTCCTACAGTCTAGTAGCTGGACCCGCCACTTGGTCGTTGTTCACCTGATCCCATTAAAATAGGTTTAGGATCTTAAAAGTAATTTTTTTTATCTATTATACGAACCCAGCAGACTGCAATCAAAACTGATTCTCGATTTTCTGATCCAGCATGGCCCCCGAAAACGGAGGGGTCAGGGAGACAGAGGGACAGTGGGCCGGGGTTGTCCTATTTTGAAATAAAAGAATTTTAATATAATCTTCTGTTTTGAATCTTTAATTTGGCCTTGGCCTTCCCGCTTTCTCACTTGCTGTCGGAGCCCTTGTCCGAGGGGGTGTGTGCCTTCCCCCGTGATCATGTTAAAAATAGACTTCGTCTGTCAATTAATTTTTAAGTCGTCGCCTTGATTTTGTTTAGAAAAAATATAAAATACTTGTCAACTGTGAGTATTTTGTGACCCGAAAGTGAAACAAGCAATGGCAAGAATTTGGGCTGGTAGTGTCGGCCCATAAGATGCCCTTGTGCACGATTTCAACATTGCTATCACCGGCTTTGGAAAGTAATAGAAAGGCCTAAAAAATTAATATGTTTTCTTAGGAAGAGTCTGCTTCAGCGCTTGTCTCTATAATTAAGGTAATGGATGGTTAAAAATTTACACATAAAATACATTTTTTTCAAGGAAGAGGGAGCTCAAATTTGAAATCATGGCATCGAAAATATAGACAATGCCTCCCTGGAAAGTTCACCTCTTCTTAGTTGCTGTTTTGTTAGATTGAATCACATATGATACTTCCTATATCTTTGCTGGGAAGTAGAAAGGCTATAACCACAGACCTGTGATAATTTCGTCCTGTAGAAGAGAATTTGTTTCCATTATCTATCCAGCGTTGTACCGCCCCCCCCCCCCCTTTGAATCGTGGTTTCTTCACTGAAGATGACGGCCAATAGCTGAAAAACCCTCCAGAGATGGACTTACTGGGGATATAGGTGGCGCCCCCTCCTCGCAATATTTGTTGTCCTTCGGTAAATTTAGATTGAGTATTGAGTAATAGCATAAATTGGTGCTCAGTAGTAACAAAATAATGCAAAACTTTACTTTATTTATCTTATAATCTGTTTTCCCTTTAAGTTTAAAGCTGAACTTTATAATGGGCGTTTTCAACATTTCCCAACCACCTGAAGGATGTGGCACCAAAAAACAATCATTTTCAAACATCCCCCAACCCTTGTCGCTTAAATCCGTCCCTGCCTTGAATCCAATCACATTTTAACTCCCGTGTAAGAACAAGATCCTCTAAACATCACTCCTACTGACTAATATAAAAAGTGGTTGACTGATAAAATTTGGGGAATTCAAAACTGTTTGTTAGCTCCTCGAACCAGTCAAACGAGGCTCCTCCCTTTAAGACAAACATTGTCTGATGTGCAAATGGATTTGATTTATTCAATCGTTAAGCAAATGTATTTGGAAAAAACGTTATAATGATGTACTTTATAAAAGAAATTTTGTAAAGACCTGCGTTGACTTTGTAAAAGTATTTAGGCCGCAAATGGGGGCAGCAAGGGGCAAAATCGAGTAATGATAACACTGACTTAAAGGTACCTTTAATTTGGCAAGACAAGTAATTTGACAAACAAGTGCATATTTCTTTGCTCAATATGTGAATGACCTTAAGATCTTTTTATGAAGTAGTTCCTGCAATATCGAAGATGTGATTTGTGGATCAACACTCAAAGTTTTTATTATCACTTATATTTCTTTATACATATAAATATATATATATTTATATATATATATAGGCTTGTAGGCCGAAATGGCACATAGAGACAATCCATAAGGTATCTTATTGGCTCAGCAACCAGATAAACTTATCATAAAGATCAAGGGATACGTTTTGAGTAAAATTTTGTGACATACATGATATCTTTGTCGTTTACACTCCTTTATAAAGGATTTACAGCTAGTACCTCTTCGGCCCTCTTCCTGTTCGCATGATTTACGATAAAAGGCGGTATTGCTTAGGGTTTACCTTGTGAATCAAATTTGAATCCTTTTCCATCGTTTCAGGTCAGCAAACACTCTATTATGGAGATCTACTCAAGATGTTCGATGCAAAAGATTCTACTGAAACAAGCTAGAAACCAAAACTGTAAGTCACATACCTATGTTTCCATGTTTTTCGCGATTAACAAATACTGGTCGAAACACGAAATTCGATTGTTGACTGAAGATCGGCATTTTGTATGGCTGGCGACTTTTATCCCTTCCTTTCCACAACAAGAATGCTTTGTGACAAGAAACTTGAGCTGTCAAAATCCTCTAAATCCATCATCATACCTAGTGAAGAGAGCGAAGAGTTCATAGGTGCGATGTTATTGGTCAAAGCGATCCAGGGGGACATGTACCAACATCTAATCGAAAACCACAAACTTTTACCACTTGAGCCCGTCAGATTGTCGCTGTGTCTCAAAGGGTTGTGAATCTTTGCTCGTTTCTTTGTATAATTAGGATTTAATGATTTAGGCATCACATTAAGTAGCTGTATGTACATGATATCTGTTTTGATTTTATTCCATCTGCAGAACCAAGGAACATGGATATCAAGTATACACGCATTTTTTCCCTATTATCATTAAGGCTAAATTTTAGTGTCGAGAGCTAAACCATATTAGAGGCATTATATCAAATAATGAAGTTACGCCTATTTACGATCTTTAAACTGCTGATGAAATGCTGACGTGAATCCAGCTGTTATATGATTTCATTGGTCTAGATAGCCTGTGTTCCAGACCCCTGACTTGAAAGTAGAGGGGTCCGGAGCACAGGCTATGGTCTAAACAGATCTACTCGTAATTTCTTTGGGACCAAGCCTTTTTCAAAACATTTAACTTCTAACGAAACACTGCCTTTAAGGACTACTTTAACTGAGCTAAAAATTGATGTACCTCTTCGAAAAAAAAAATTTTCATAAAAAAAAACCAGCGAACTATGCTGAAGGTGTATGATTTTTGTGCTACCGTGTGAGGGTTTTTGTCAAAAAATACTACCATTTGAGGGTAATTTTGTAAAATTTTAGCGTTGGCGCTCTTTGACCCTGACCGGACCCCCTGTCAGGCCATAATGGGAGTACACCCCCCCGGGTCTACATTTGCTTATTTTTCTGAAACTTCCTATGAGACTTTATAAAAAATCTTCAAATATTATATAGCAGATATTGCAGACTTGAATGTAGTATTGTTGTTTAGGTGTTCATAGAGCAACTCATCATCAAAATATATCTGCTCTGTATCCCTTCTTGATTAGGAATCTTAATGAAAAATTTCTAGTTCCTAACGTGTTTACTCAGTTCAATAAATTGATTCTTGGCTGTTTCATTTTTAAGACCTGATCTTTTTAAAACCTTATGATGTATCATGATAAGATCTTCCTAAAAAACATTTGCTGCAAAATTTTAAGGGTCAACATAGCGACTCAACTCAAAGTGAGGGGTCCAAACATGTATTTGACATGCATTTGAAAAGAAGCTACTTTTTTTGCTTTACCCCCTGTGATAAATAGTTTGTTACAGCTGAAGGATTAATGTCGCCTGCTCGTCTCAGAATGAAGTCGGCTAACCCATGTGTGAATGTTGTTCTTGTTTCAGAAAACATACGACTGTAAAAGGGGAAGGTTGGCAAAAGGCTTTCTTTGTATCAAACTTTTATGTATTCGTTACCCTAATCTATTTTGAGTCAAGAAGGAAAAGTATAGCTTTTACGCAATGGCAATTGTTGTCTTTGATCCGTCTAATGGGGCACCCCGTGGTGCATCTACGTACTGCAACACGATGCAGACTGTTTGGAGTGCCGTCTGAAAATTATACACTTAGCTACAATTCTATACTTAATTCAAATTATAGATAAAATTCTACGCAGCGAGCTTGCCTTTTCTTGCAAGAATTGTATTCCTTTTCAACATCTCCTCTTCGCAACGACCGCGGAACCCACAGTGAAGGCAGTTAATCCCCCACTTACATTCACGGATTGAGTAGATTTCAGTGCATTCAGTAGCGAATCTACTTTAATGTAACAACGACCTACTTCTCACTTGGTGCTAAATTTTTGACCAAATGCTCATCCGCAATGATGTAGTCAGGGCTATCAAGCGGGGACCATTCGATTTTCTTTGTGGTTTAGAGGTCGGTCTTCAGATTTCCTGGCTGACCGTAAACTTACTGCCGAAAGCATATATAAAGCTACCTTTACACTTAAGGTCACGAACATTTCATAACACCATTCATGACATCATAATAAAGAACCTCTTAAGAGCAATGAGTATTGAATTTCCAGAACAATAAAAAACTAAAGTACTCAACATCGACCTTTGTTTTTTATAAAAAAATGAGTTTTCTCTGGTATATTTTAGATAGGGATGTTTGGATGTATATTTGGGGTTTAAAATAAGGGTAAAGAATACTTTTTTGGCTTCATGCAAAGCTGGAATTTTTTGGGTCTCAAATTTTAAAGAACATCGAGATAAGGAACTTTGATATACAGATAAAAATTAAAACAGAAGTCAAACAGCTTGATTGGGTGTGAAAGTCACGCGAAAATATTTGATTGGTTTATCCTAATATCGAAAAATACTTCTTGAGTAAATGTTGAACAGAACCTGAGCATTCCTTTAATAAATATGCAAGAGTATCCTCCTGGTAGTTAAGAAAAACCCATGCGACGATGGTTAAGCTCCTTCGACTATTTTTGCAGTCTTTTCCATAGAAAACTCTTCCTCGCAATTAGTCCCGAAAAGATTCCACAGAAACTTCTTGACCAACACCCCCGCCCCCTTCCTCCAACCCACCCTTGTCAATTCTCTTCGTTGGTCGAATAGCCACATTTGGCTATCTTCGTCCTAGAATTAGATAGAAACAAGAAATTCGCGAAAGTAGGTGTAATCTTCGCTTTTATCTCAAGAGAGACTCGTTTTAATCATAGTCAATAGAACAGCCGAGTGATAATGGGGCTGCTAGCTCCTTACGTGGCAAAGGACAGGGTACCGATGTTCTTCCAATAGGTATTTCTGATAATGGCTTCAAGGCCACCTCCTTTTTACTTTCAATTACGAAAGCCAGGTTAAATCAGTTTTCTATCTTTTAAACACTAGCCTCCAGAGCATTTTTGTCATTCTTTCAACATCGCAAAACAAGATGCGGTTAAACTTGAAACTAGGCCAACAATTTGTTGTTACTTTACTTTATGCCTCTTTTTGATGGAAAACATCGTCTCTTTGTCATTGCTTATCGCTTGCATTTTTTTGACAAAGAAATAATTTGTCTACAATGTTGTCTCCACCCAAGACTGTCTCCATTCGAGGTGTTCCCACGTTTCAGTTGTTTTTACGGGACGGTTTTGTTCCAAATCAAGTCTACGATCTTAAAAATCCTGACAGAAATGTCATGGATTTTAAAGAAGATAAAAGGAAATACCACTGGTTTCATCGTCAAAAGTTTTTAATGCGAAAGAAAACTTAACTGCAACTTGACTGAACTAAATAATTGCGTTTATCCTTCTTGAATTAATTCTAATTAATGTATTGATATCATTGTGACGAGGCAGGAGGCCGTCTTGGCATAGATAACTGAGGTTACACTTACAAATAAAATTGAAAAATGCGCCTTTAAGTTACACATGAGCTCCACACCCTTATTTAACAATTTTTAACAAACTTGTAGCTTCATGCAATTCTTAATTATGAAAAATGAAGTACTAAGGCACGGGCACGGTGATTTTTTTTGGAAATCAAAGTTCTCTTCTTGGTGCTGCAACCGAAAGATGCAATGATTAAAGCAAACTGGTGCAAAATGCTTATAACTTCTCCAAAATTAAAATTACAACAGAATATTGATCTTGATATAGTAGTTGCTTTACTTTCTAGAATTAAATTTTGCTCATCTTTGCATTCTGTTTATAAGTAATGTCATTTCGGACGTACTAAACTAAGGCTAGAGTTACACTATACCGGATTGCTTTCGGAGCGGAGCAGTGTGGAGTAACTTTTACTGCGGAGTGATATTTAGGTTAGCAGTTACACTACGACGCTTCGCTCACTCATAAGCCTGTATTCCTTTGCATTTCTGGTACACAAAATCCACCAGATTAAATTTTTTGATGATATTTTCGAATCTATGTTCTGTTGCGAATTCCTTTTCAATACCATGCATAAAATGGCGAAAACAACTATGAAACTGAGAGATAAAAAATGGGGTTCGTAGGAAGGATAGCGAGATTGTGTTGCTATCTGATGTGTTAAAGTATGTTTTTCGTCCAAGGGCCACTTCATAAAAATTCGGGAAGAGATGAAATCCAAGTACGAAAATGTTTTGACGATTTCGATTTGGCATTATCCAACAACAACAAAATCTCAGAAAGCGCCATCGTTCACTATCGATCGAATTGCTTCAAGCAGAAAACAATACGAAAATCCTTTGTTTCAAAGTGGAGCATATCGGATTCGTGCGATTACACTACAACGCTCCGCTACGGAGTGACTCCGGAGCGATTTTCGTATCACCTCCAGAGCGAAGTGATTTTCACTCCGCTAATCAGAGCGTTGTGTATCGGATTGGTGTGGCGTAGTGTAACTCAGACCCCTATCCGATATGAAAGTTACTCCGCTCCGATAGCAATCCGGTATAGTGGAACTGGCACCATAGTGGAACTGGCACCTAATAATCTCTATTTTAATAATATGAACAAAATATAAAAAATCAAAACCAAAACAAAGAATTTCTACAGATTTTACAATAAAACAACATGGTTTCCGCCAAAGTTTCACGAGATTTCCGTAGAGTGTTTAGCCCCTAGCATCACTTCATTGCAAGCTGCAGTTGCTTTCTGATCTCAACTTCCCTTTAATACCTGTTTCTTTTTACTAGCCTAATTTCTTTTCATGCTAAAAAATATCTCCATTTGTCCGAAGTGGACTGGCCCACCGGGAAATTTCCCGGTGCGCCCTTTGCCTCAAGTTATTTTTCAAAAAACTTGAAAATATCGAAAGGCAAACAATCTTCGCACAGAACTAAAATTGATTACAGTCATCAATAGACCTTTTATCAAAAAAATGTTTGCATTTGTTTGCACTTTTTTGCAAAAAAATTGATTTTTGCACAAAAAAAGTTTAACTTCACCTTTAAGTTGAGCAATATTAAAATTAATTGCAAAGTTTCCCAATTCACGTTATTGTAAAATTCATTAAAGTTTGATCAGAAAATTATTGAAATTAAAATTCTTGAAAAGAACGTATTTTTTAAAAATGGCATGGAAAAA